GGGGCATTTGCCCAGGGCCCCATAATTTACTGGGGCCCAAAGCAGCTGTCCCTTTAGCCCAAGCGTGAGACAGGAGAAGCCCAGCGGCACCGCTGACAGGGAGACCGTCGTCCGGCCGTCCTTTCTCCTCTAGTCAATGTCTGTGTGCCTCCTGCTTCTGTGATCTCCTCCCCCAATGCCTGTCACATAGACACAGACATCGGGGAGGATGCCTGGGAGATCCGGCAGGCACGGAGGAGAAGGAGGGGGAGGACACAGCCAGACACAGCAGAAGAAACAACCTAAGCAGATCCTCAGTGTCTCTATTGCAGGTTACATTGTGATTGTGTGTCGGTAATTTCATGTTGCATAATACCATCATAGCTCTTTGCACTTTCTTATAAAAAAGTAATACCAAATTTGTTAAAGGGTTCTGTAGGAGAATGACAGGGAAAAATCGTACCTCCGCTGGTCATGATTGTATGGCTGCAATATAATATAATATAGTGTATATATAGTCCAAATCCCATTTAATTAGGAGCCACATAAGATATTTTTACATTATACTCTTGTAGTCTGATCTTGCAGTGTGGCTACAGTTATCTGTACTGTGACACTTGGTACTTTTATGATTACTCCCAGTCATATTTTTTGCATGCCCCAAGTTAGTAGTTTGCTGATGTCTCTTTACAGTTCCTGGATGCCTTCTAACAATAAAGGATGTTAAGTGATCTGCTTTTATGTTTGTTTCCACGGACAAGTACACATAAATCAAGCCAAAGAATCAAAAACTTCCTTTAATAAATTGATTAATGTTCATTTGCACTAATAAAGTATTAAAGCAAAGCAAGTTTTATTAATGCAGTTTAAAATAAAGGTTCATTTCATAATTATTGCTGTGCATTTACATCCACATCACTAAACACTTGCAGCAAGGTGTATTTAGTACACTGCGCAGCAAGCATTCAGTGATTTTATTAATGTATCCATGTAGTTTATACTGCATGCATTGTGTTGCATTTACATTGCATGCCCCTGCACACTTTCTGCACACTGTACTGCATTTGCAACATATGCATTCTACGTATAATATATAAGGAGACATTTGTTAAAAATGCAATGCACCATGCAGTAAGTGCTTGAGGACAAGCAACACTAATGCAACAGATTTATGGACTTGGGACCCTGCAACCCAATGGGTTCAGGACCCTGCATCACAATGGATTTAGGACCCTGCAACACCATGGATTAAGGACTCAGCAAGAAAATGCAGTTAGGACTCTTCAATGCAATGGATTCAGGAGTCTGCAATACAATGGACTCAGGACCCTGCAACATAAAAAACGTTGGACTCTCCAACGCAATAAACTCTGGTCCTAAGTCCATTGCGTTGCAGGGTCCTAAGTGCATTTCATTCCTGAGTTTATTGTGTTGCAGAATCTTGAGTATATTGCGCTATTGCATGGATATGTGTTTTTATTTATTAGTTTCTTTTCAGGGGAAGGTGATGTAGGTGGATATGGGGGTCTGGGTCGGGAAGTGATGGAGCTGGGAAGGTTGTGGGGGCCCATCCGTAAAATCTTGCCCAGAGCCCAATTAATATTAAAGACGGCCGTGGGTACCCATCTCGCACAAACTTTTCGAAACCTAAGTCTGGGGTGGATTATTTCATAGGTAGAGCCATGGCTGATTTGCAAATGATTTGCCACATAATCCACTGTCAGTTGTCTATTCGATCCATCCTGTCAGCGTACGAGTATGGACACCCGCACGGACGTGCAGGGCGGGTGAGTGTAGGGCGGCGTACGTCGGCGTACTCCCATGGAGAAGGACAGGACTAATCACACGCAGCACCTGTCCTTCCCGGGAGCTGCTGGATACAGCCGTGCACGCAGCACGGAGCTGTATGTGCTGACCTTTTCTCGTGTGAATGAGGCCTTAGTCTAGTCTATGAAATATCATATGATTTTAGTCGACTATCTACAGTGATACTAAAAAAAAACCTAAAGTGGGTTTAGTTAAAGAATCATTAAAAAATGTATCTAGAATTTACAATCTCATTATATAAGTAAACATCTGTTAACCTGTTATTACTTATGGTATTAAGGTTTAAACTTGCAATATGGACACAGATTTAACTGTTGTGATATATATATATATAACATGTCTTTATTTATCTTAAAATTAGATTAAACCAAGTCTTACAAAGAAACACTAATATTGAGTATTTTCAACAAATTACCAATAATTAGAAATGCATTGATTATAGCAACTTGTATATGACATTCTTCATTCTTTCAATCAGTAGTGCAATTCTAAAACCTTAAAATGAAAGACTATATTAGCTGTATTGCCATTGCACATAATACCTATTAGCTGTCCATTCAGGTTGGAACCGGAACTGGAAGTCCAAAGAGATTAGTTCTGATTGGATCTCTTCCCAAATCTTCTCTCCCTAAGATTTGAGTCTAGTTTTAGTTGGTCAACTAAAATGTCAATATATTTTTATTATAGTTTGAGTCGTCATAACTTAGTTTCTATTTTGTTTTAGTCAAAAACCAAACCAACCAAAAAAGTGTTGACGAAAACTAACGAAAATCATTAGTTGACAAAATTAGCAGTTGTTTATAATCACTAATGTGAGGAACATCAGGTTCAGCGAGTATTTACTAAGCATTCATAATGCATTGAATAACTTTCTTAAACTAATAAGCACCCTTCAGCTGCACTCTGGGAGTGTTCAATATTGATCCTAATGAGATTGCTGTCTATGGATTTATCAAGCAGTTTTTATCCGCCTTTAGTAGACAAAAATTCAGCATACTCCAGGCTGCAAAAGCTTACAAAATATTTAAAATGCCTTCTGAAAGCAATGCTAATGTTTAAAACTTAAAGTGACATTAAACCCTCAGATTTTTTAACATAAAACAATACTGTAATGTGTGCCTTACTGTAATCCATGGTTGTTTCCCTTCTCTTTGCTGCTCTTCCTTTAAAATCTGTATCTGTTCCCATGCTGGGCAGAACTTCTGTTTTGCAGCAGACTGCCTTGTCTCAGGAATGGATATATGGTGTCTGTGTATAGGTTTGTAACCTGAGCCAGCACTACAGGAAGAGGCCCTGAGCTGAAAAGGGAAGTTCTCCCCAAGCATGAGAAGACATGAAGATTTAAAAGGAAGAGCAGCAAAGAGAAGGGAAACAACCATGGATTACCAGTAAGGCACACATTACAGTATTGGTTTATGTTAAAAAAATCTGAGGGTTTAATGTCGCTTTAAGACCAAAAAAAACAAAAAACACTCATACTTACCGTATTTTTCGCTCCATAAGACGCACTTTTTTCCCCCCAAAAGGAGGGGGAAATGTGCCTGCGTCTTATGGAGCGAATCCCGACGCCCGAGACATGCAGTTTCGGGCGCCGGGCGAGTAGTAGGAGCCGCTGCTCGTTTAATACGAGTGATCTAATGAGATCACTCGTATTAAAGCCGAGCAGCGGCGGCGGCGATCGTATTCCGCAGTAGGAGCCACTGCTCGTTTAATACGAGTGATCTAAGGAGATCACTCGTATTAAAACCGAGCAGCGGCGACGATGGAGATCACCATAGAGCAGACGAAGAACGGACTTTCTTCGTCTGCTCTGTGTGATCACTGAGACCGTGGCGCTGTAATCACAGCGCCACCTGTCTCAGCGGTCACTAACTGCAGCTTCTGTCACAGCTTCTGTCATAGAAGCTGTGTCAGAAGCTACAGTCTGTCGAGTGCTCCATAAGGCGCGCCGGACCTCCCTGCGTCCTATGGTCCGGTGCGTCTTATGGACCGCAAAATACGGTATTTTAAACAGATTTTCATTCAAATCATTTCACTTGCGATTGTATAAAAAGATCTTTGCACACTATCTCTTTAAAACCAAAGACAATATGAATATTTATTGAAAAAAGTTGTAAATTAGATTCATGCAGCACCTTACTTGCATTTAATTAGCCAAACAACCTGTGTAAATGTGTTTAGGGATAAGAAGGAAACTGTAGTGAGAAGTCCCTAAGAACATGTTGTAAAGCATTGGGTACATTCAATATAAAAGTGCAAAAAACGTAAGTCACAAAAAACAGGTTTTTAAAAACATAAAGGTAAGCTGAAAAACCTAGGGTTGGATTTCACACATTTTTGAAAGGAAAAAAAGGAAATTAGAACATAAGTAGAGTTGTTTCCTATAGCAGGCAGTCAGAATTCCAATCTGTTTTCATAAAACAACAGAGGAAATGTTAGCAACAACTCCAATTTTCTTCTTCAGTGTCTTTCAATCAGCCCCTTAGAGGGAATCACTACCAAACATCTTTTGAGCACTCCATGTACATCACAGAGGGGTCCACACTGATCAAAGTTATAGTTGTACAAAAATACATGTACTTGCAGCTCACAATCCAAAAAAAAGTTAGGAACTGCAGGGGTGGGTGGGGGGCAGCATAGATCCTCTACGACGTGGTCACCAGGGTTAAGAGAACCAAAGTCCCCATTGAAAGATTTTCCCTCTAGTCCTGATTTGGTGAGAAGTAAAAATGTGTGATTTTTCTTTCACTTTTACTCTTAATGGTAATGGTCCCCAGGACAAATATCAGGGACACCGAAAAAAAATAAAACCGGACAAGTGTTCTACTCTCTCTCCACTTTATCCAAAGCTAAAAAAAAAAAAAAGCTTTAGTTCTACTTTAAATGAAACTGTGCAGTCTATAAAAAGTACATATTATTCCAGAACAGATGCATGCTTTTCAAAAGCAAGTGTCAGTGCAAGCTTTCCCCAATGAATTAGTGTCCTGATACTGCCATTGCAGAAAACGGCAACCTTTCATCCAGACAAGGCATCCAGTGAACAACACTGTTCTCTATAATTTTGTGTTTGTAGTGATGGTCCTACATCAGGCCATCAATTCCAATTCAAGGCTTGAGGCCAAAAATAGCTGCAAACTCCATTACTGTTAAAACTCTGCCATAGTTCCAGGATGTATAGCAGCAACTGCCAGATGGAGATTTCTGATTAGGGTTACTTCATTGTTGCAATGTCTGGTTGAGTCCTATGAGCTAGCAGTGCTTTTTAACCTTGTTTGTGGGGATGGCTAAATAGGGCAATCCAATTCTTGTGGACTTGAATGGCCAATACTGAACTTGCAGATTACACTCCGGAATCTCATACTTAGCATCAAAAAAGGCAAAGACGGTATTTATGTGGCCCACAGTCAGACAAATAAAGATGTGCCTGTGAGATATAACAAAACAAAAAACAAGACCGCAAATGCAGTGTTACATGTATATGCAATAAATAAATTAAAAAGTGTTTTGCATTAAATATTATCATGTTAGCAAAAAATGATGCTGCTTGGTTACTTAAAGTTATAGCCAGACCTACTGCATGGAATATTAAACCTGGATCATGTCTGAACAAAGAAGCCACAAGCCTTCAGGGGAGAAAGGAAAATGAAGGCAATTGTTATGAGAACAGCTGTGATTTCCTTGAAAGGCAATAGTTATCTGCCATTTTTACATTTACACATTACTTATAGAATAATAAGAATAAATACATATAAAACATATGTAATGTTAGGTTTGCTCAAAGTACAATTAAAGGCTCCTATATGATAGTCTAAACAGGTACACAATTAAGTTACTATGCAATGTACAAGCTTTAAAAAACAAAAAATGCCTTCTCTGACTAAGCTAAATCCTCCTTTATTTGTGCCTCACATGCCCTCCCCCAGACACTGCAGATTACAGTGGGAGGGTTTCAATAGCAGAGGCAGTGCTGGCAATCCAGAAAGCAGTGGTATGGCTATGTGTACAGTAGCCAGATATGGACTGACAAACCACAGGTTTGTGAATCAGCAGTGACCATGCTTAAAGCTATGCCCCATATAACATCTCATTACACTGTAGTGCAAGCAGGCAGTGGCAATTCTGAGAGTAGCAATTCTGCTCTGAATTTAGGAGCAGTGCAGCATTGTTGCCACATCACAGGAAGCTGCATTAGGTGGACTTCTCTTTCAGATTAACAGGTATTTGTGAGATTTTGCAGGGGGATTAAGAGAAAACTGTAAGTGCAGATGCATTAATAATTGCAATATTTTTTTATTTTATGGGAGGCTGTAGTTGAGACAAAATGCTGAAAACTGCACTCAAAAAAGCAGGCACCAGTATTGCTTGTGGTCTCCCTACAGCTTATCTTTCCAGAATTACTGACCGTGCCTTGTTTTGCACTGTGTCTCTGTGTAGAGGTTGCATCTTGGTAGAGACAGAGATTTGCTTCCTCATGTTAGAGCATCTAGCAAGGAGAAGCGTGAGCAACACACTAGTGACATCACCAGATCTTTTTAAGTTAATTTTCTCTTTATTCACCTAATTTACTAAGATGAGTAAAAATGTACTTTGCAAAGTGAAATTTCACTTTGAAAGTGAGCATGCTGTGCTTTATTAAATCAACCTTACAATGACTACAAACATTATTTTTGATGCACTGAAGGTATAGCTGAGCCAAACTATCCTACTTTAAAAAAAAAAAAAGGCCAAATTATGGGATCTTGGAAATCATGACTAGCAACTGTGTAAGTAAAGTTTCACCCTTAAAAGTGAATTTTTACTTAACTTCGTAAATTAGGTGAAGCTCTGCTGACTATAGTCATTCAATTACCTTTTGAGGCTTTCCCTCCTCATGGAGGGTGTCAATTATGGTTTTCTGCACAACTGTCAGGTCAGCAGTCTTTCCCATGATTGTGATTCCTACTGAACCAGACTAATGGTGGCCATACACTTTACAACCATCACAAGACCTTTAGTCTTGCGATGGTTGTAAAGTAATTAAAAAAAGTACGATCTGCCCATCTTGGACAGGCAGATCGTACTTGTGATGACCGCAATGCTGAACGGGCAATGTGTGCGCGTGCGCACACCGCCACCGTGTGGCATTGATCTCACGATCATGCTAAAAACCAGCCGAAAATCGTACGATTCTCGGCTGGTTTTCTAGCATGCTCCTTAGACAAAAGACGTGCGACCGTACAGTAAAAACGGTCGCACGCCTTCCATACACTGTGCGATTATCGTACGATCGTGGGATTTCCCGCGATTATCGTGCGATAATCACACAGTGTATGGGCACCTTTAGAGACCATTTAAAGGCTCAGGAACCCTTTGCAGGTGTCATGGCTTAATTAGCTGATTAGAGTGGGACACTTTGAGCCTAGAATATTGCACCTTTTCACAATATTCTAATTTTCTGAGATTGTGGATTTGGGGTTTTCATGAGCTGTAAGCCATAATCATCACAATTATGACAAATCACGGCTTGAATTATCTTGCTTTGCATGTAATGAGTCTATCTCATATATTAGTTTCACCTTTTAAGTTGCATTAGTGAAATAAATGAACTTTTGCACGATATTCTAATTATTCGAGTTTCACCTGTATATGCAAGTGAATCCTAACCTAGCTTTATCTCATTCACTGGACTAAGTGAAAATCCACTGTGCAAAGTGAACATGTGCTACTCCTTGATTAAATCAGGACCACCAAGTTCTGAGTTCCAATCGTTATTATTTGCCACATAATGCATATACATTAGCCGTTCTTACCAGAAGCTATGCAAGTAACAGAAGTTGATCCTTTTCCAGAAATTACAGAAGAGGCGATCACTAAGCCAGCAAGAAATGGCCACAAACCACAAACAAAAAGACACGATTGCCAAATTAATAATGTCCCGGTCAGTGCACCTGTGTATTATAAAATAAAAATTAGTATATTTATTTGCTAAGGGAATATTTATTACATGAAATAAATCAATAAAACTGCTAAGTCAGACTTTTGGTTCTGTTTGTTTTGTCACATTGGATGTGTTGCAATTTTTATGTAGTGCCCCTCCCGACTTTTGAAGGCATGTGGTGAACCCAGTGGCGGACCTAAGGAACAAAGGGCCCTGGTGCAAGATTTTTTTTTGCTCCCCCCAAAAAAATAAACCACAAACACAGCGCTCTCCTCCCGCAGCGCTCGGCCGGCTTTCACTTTCTCTCCTCCCCGCTGGGACACAGAGCAGCGCCCAGCGGGGAGGAAAGAAAGCAAGGATGCACCGCTGTATCAGCAGAAAAATTGCACTTTTGGCATTTAGCAAAAAGTGCCATTTCCGGCCGATATGTTTTGGCGGCCGATATATCGGTGCATCCCTAATATTTACAGCAATGCAGAATGGCACAGGCTATAGAGGACTACACATCCCAGCAATACTTTATATAACAATAGCATTTCTGTATAAAGTACTGCTGAGATTTGTAGTCCTCCTATAGAGGGTGTCATTCTGCATTGCTACAACAGTACTTTATACAACATTAGGCTACAAATAATTATTTTAATTAACTATTTACCCTTACCTCTTCTGTCTTCAGCTGTTTCCTGTGTGTGTTCTGTTTGCTGGGTCCTCACTGCCGTCTGAGGCCCCATGATGTGCCTGCAGAGCCATCTTCAGTGCCTCCTTGTTCCGCGGCTCCCTCCTCACAGCAGCTGGCGGGCCCCATACTATCTCTGCCAGTGGACGGGCCCCCCCCATTTCAGCGCGTCGCTGGGGGGCAGAACAAAATGTTGCGCCCCCCACAACCATTAAATCACCACCTCATCAATACTAGTACAATAATAGTGTTATCAGTGATTGATGGCTCTAGAATTATTGCTCTCACTGCGACGTTCGAGGCAATATGTAACATGTGCAGCGCAATTGTCATTTTCCGCACGTAGGCGCTCCGACGCGTGTGTATCTGGGGGGCGGGGACTTAAACATTTTTTTCCCATTTTTTTAATGTTACTTTCATTTTTAAACTCTGGGTGACTTTGAGGCCACCTAACACCGTGGTATTGCCTCACAATGCCACAGTACATATGCATGCTTATACTTTTCAGAGGTCCGATATTGTTCTATGTACAATCCTTGTTTTATTGATTGCATGTAATATTCTAATTTTCTGAGATTGTGGATTTGGGGTTTTCATGAGCTGTAAGCCATAATCATCACAATTATTACAAATCACAGCTTGAACTATCTTGCTTTGCATGTTATGAGTCTATCTCATATATTAGTTTCACCTTTTAAGTTGCATTAGTGAAATAAATGAACTTTTGCTTGATATTCTAATTATTCGAGTTTCACCTGTATATATCTGTGGATCACTGTAAATCTCTGTGCCCAATTTTTGAGGAAATGTATCAATGTTGTCTTAGGGCCACTCTATAAGACATCCTGGAAGTGGGCTTAGGACCTTTATCTATTGTACTGATTTCACCTCACCTCCTGATCAGATATTATAATATTCTACAACGGCATTTTTGCAGGGTAAGACTGTTCTTTTGCGGTGACAGGCGTCCCCCTGTCAATTGGCAGCACTTTGCTATTGCTCCTGATTGGCGTATTAGGGGGCGTGGTATAGCGCGCGTGGCCATTGCGCATGCGCCCGCCAGACGAGTCCTCACTCAGCGGCTAATGATAACGGACGAGGAAGTGTCCGTCTATCTCCCCACGATTCTGTGCATCAAACGGTCAGTACCATGCTTGATATGGAGATTTTTCCACCCATATAAACAACCTCCATGATACATGGAGGATGTTGAGCTTGCTTTAGATATGCATGGCATGTGATTGGGGTTGAGGTGGAGACCAGTATAATTGTTGGGCATCTGCAGGTGTAGTTGATAATTGAGTGACATCATGATGATGTCAGAAGAGGGCTGGTACTTCACTTGATTGGTTGTTTGGCTGGCACTTGTATGTATTTAAGTCACTCTTTTATCATTGTGGTTCACTTTCTATTTGCCTGATGAAGGGACCTCTTTGGTTCCGAAACGTTGCATGGAAATGCTGCACCATTTAGTCAATAAACAGATTGACTGGAAGCTACATTGGAGTGGTTTATTGTACAGACACCAGATCGCTTGTAAGTTACATAGCAATCGCCTGCTGTTAAAAGCTGAAGCAGCCGTGTTCTTGTTTTAACCACTTCTGCGGGCCGCCGTCTATAGACGTACTGCGGCCCGGAAGTGGTTAAAGTGACATTAAAGTAAACAATTTTTTCCCTCCCCCCAATGTAAATGTCAGCACTCACCTTAACTGATGTCTCTTAATTCGTTCTTCTTCCTTTCTGATGTTTTCATCTGTCCCTCCAGCGATGCGGCGGCTCTCCGATCCAGCGCTGACTCCTCTTTCCTTGCTGGCACTTCCGATCCAGCGGTGTCTGCATGCGGGCCCACGCGTCTATAGACTTACCTTGTGTCTCTCCTCGTCTCCCGGCGAGAAATCCAAAATTCGCATGCGCCCGCCCCAAGATGCTTTGCGGCCGCCCGAACAGTTTCGCATTTTAAGACGGGGTAAGTTTAAACCGCTGTTTAAGCGGTTTTTGTTTTTTTACTTTTTGCATATATCTACTGCTTGCTAGCCGTAGATATATGCAAAAAAGCTGGAGGGTTTAACTGCCTCTGGGCCAGCCGTTGTATAAAAACGGCCGGCCAGGACCTTCCTAGATCTGAGCGTGCTCCCAGCGCCATCACGACCCGGCAACTGTGCCCGCACTGTCCAATGGACAGTGCTGTTTCTAAAAAAAGGTATAGAGCCAGTAAAATCGGCTCTATACCTTGCAATCTAGCTGTGACAAATCACAGCTGTCACAAAAGTAAACAGAGGCTGCAGTTTGCAGCCTTGTCACTATCTCCTCTCTCACACACCCTTTGGTTGTGAGAGGGAGGAGATAGAAACTTCACAAATCATCCACAGTAAGCATTCAAAGCATTTAAAGTGATACAGACTGATACATTGCTAAAGTACAGCGTCAAAGTGTCAATTCAGTGTCATCTTTGAGATTCACATTGTCAGTGCCATTCCCTGTCATCAGTGTGATTCCTAAGTCATTATTGCAAGTCAGTATCATCAGCACGATTCACAGTATCAGTGCGTTTTCAGTATCGTCAGTGCCACTCGCAGTGTCATTAGTACGATTTAACAGTATCAGTGCGTTTCATTGTCGTCAGTGCCAGTCGCAGTGTCATCAGCACGATTGACAGTTTCAGTGTAATCAGTGACACATTTGCAGCACATATCAGCACTCAGTGCCAGCAGAACACGCCAGTATCTACCACTGTGCCAGCCTACTAGCACCAATTAGTGTGTGACGCTCACATAACCGGTACAGCACGTCCAAGTATCAGTTTCATCCAGTGCCCCCAAGTATACGCACTAACAGAAATGTCCCAAAAAATGTACAGCAGCGAGGAGGCATTTCAAATCCTCAGCATGTCTGGTGAGAGTGACGGAGAGGCCTCAGATTCTGGATCAGAGTACGAACCTGCGGAGAGCAGCGGTTCAGTATCCTCTGATTCAGAAGAAGAAGTTGTGCCCACTAAAAGAGCCAGGAGTGCTGTGCAACATCCAGCTGACATGCAGCAGCCAAGCACTAGTACTGCCGCTCATCCCCAAGCTGAGGCATCCACCAGTACCACCGCTCATCCCCAAAATCAGCTACGAAGAATCAGGCCCCAAAGACCACATACTAGTGTACTACCAGAGGCACTTTCAAATCCCTTGTGGCTACCCTCAAATTCAGCCGCACCGGTCATCCCCCCATTTATTGCCAATCAAGGAGTCCAAATGGAAACAGAAAATTTTACACCAATACAATTTTTTAATTTGTTCTTCACTTCAATTTGATTGTCACCCAATCCAACCTTTATTTTCAACAGTTCGTTGCCAGCAATCCTAATTTCTCCTATGCCAGACCATTTCAGTGGAGGCCTCTGACTGTTGCTGAATTTAAAACCTTTCTCGGCCTAACACTGAATATGGGACTCACCAAAAAAAATGAGCTGAATGTGTACTGGTCTACAAACCCAATTCATCACAGGCCCCTATATTCCGCAACCATGTCCAGGACAAGATACAAAACCATATTGAGGTTTCTTCATTTCAACGACAATTTTACTTGACCTCCCAGAAGTCACCCCACATATGATAGGCTCCAAAAAATTAGGCCACTCATCAATTTTTTTTCTGCCAAATTTTCTGAAATTTATACCCCCAACAAAATATTTGCGTTGATGAATCCCTTATTCATTTCACAGGCAGGCTTAATATCAAACAGTATATCCCCAGCAAACGCGCCAGGTGCAGGGTTAAACTGTACAAGCTTTGTGAAAGAGACACCGGATACACATATGACTTCCGTGTGTATGAAGGGAAGGATAGTCATTTAGAGCCCCCTGGATGCCCATCATACATGGGAATATCTGCATACCTCCTGAACTGATCCTTGCATCTCTGTCAACCACGTCTCTGCCTGCCGCCTGAACTGACCTTGGCCTGCTTACCGACCACGTCTCTGCCTGCTGCCTGGACCAGCCCTTTGCCCATATACCAACCACGTCTTTGCCTGCTGCCTGAACTGACCTTGGCCTGCATACTGACCACGTCTCTGCCTGCCACCTGGATTGATCGTTTGCCTAAATACTCACAACAAATACTTTGCCTGCCGCCTGAACTAACCTCAGCTTGCTTAATGACCACGTCTCAGCCTGCCGCCTGAACTGACCTTGGTCTGCTTACTGACCACGTCTCTGCCTGCCGTCTGGACTGACTCTTTGCCCACATACTGACCACGTCTTTGCCTGCCGCCTGAACTGTTCTTAGCCTGCATACTGACCACGTCTCTGCCTGCCACCTGAACTGACCTAGTTGACCACATTTCTT